AGAAAAAATATTTCATATTTAAATGGGAAAATCATTTAAAAAAAGTTAGTTACATAGTTACTGAGTTGATCGGGTATGTAACCTAATAATGTTTGCCTCGCATTCTTTTTTTTTTCTGAACAGTTTGTTTCTTTATTAATAAATTATTTCAGAATGGATTTACTAATCATTTATTAAGACCGTTGGGAAGCTCATAAAATGTTGAAGTTTTTAGCTGGTTTGATATTTTTAAAAATTTATATAAGGTAGTGGTGGAAAAAGCTGATGTTACGAGCGGGATTCGAACCCACGACCTTCGGCTAAATACGCCGCTGCTCTACCACTTGAGCTATCGTGACTTCGATCCACTTCCGCTTGTGACACTAAATTTTTCATTTCAACCAATACCTTACATAAAGATGAATTAATTGAAAGAAGTTATTTGGTCAATCCGACCACGAAATATAATGGATTTTTAAATATGTAATGTAAGGGGGCTACGCCTCAAAGAAGAAAAAGATATTTGTAGTGGTATTATGATGATCTAACCTCAAAAGATTGGTTGAGTAAATACATTCACATTATCACAATAGTGTCCGTCCATTGATATAAAAACCCTTTGGATAAGGAGGGTTAAAGCCTGCGCTCCCTGACATTTCACTGGATTCGCTCATGTGGCCTTTCTGAGAGAATGGGAAAATCTTCCAATGGAAAAGGATATTTGTATTGGTACTTCTGATCTGACCTCACAAGATTGTTTGGGTAAAGGCATTCACGTTATCGCAATAGTGCCTTTCCCTGATTTAAGAACCCCGAGGATCTGAAGGATAAAGTATGGTGTTGTATCTATAAGTTTATATCTGGACTTATTCAAAAAGGCCCATAGGCCCAGGCGCTTGTTATACCTTGTTATACCTATCTGGAAGGCCCATAAGAGGGCCCCCATGTAAAAACGCTTAGAAAATGTTTTCTCCATTACCAAATGTTGGACGATATCGTAAACCAGGGTAGTAAAACGAGCCAGCCCCGTACTAATATTTCTCATTACAAAAGACGGAATAAAGCCGTTATTTATTGACATTTCACCTGGGTGCGGCTATATTTTTTTTACGATGGAATGGTAAAATATGTACTCCGCTTTGTGGGTGAAAAAACTCGTTTACAATCAATTTTCTATTCCTTTTTCACTCTTCTCTGAGGATTTTGATATTTTACTAAGAAACTATTCGAAACGCCTTTTCATGATTTCAATTGAACATTGTCCGAGATCGGGGTTTAAGATCTTATTTTTGCATATAAAGGACAAAAATTGTTTTTCAAGGAAGAGCGATCGCCTAGAAGGGGATCTTCATTCTTCATTCCCAGGGACTCATATTCCCTTGCACCAAGACAAAACAATTCAAAAACAATTTTATCGACCTGGAAAATCCGGGAAATTATCGGGGAAGGGCAAATTTTAAATTTGTAGCAATATTATAATAGAAATTACGTCTGCGCCGTGTAGAGGAAGGTCTCGGTTCATAAATCCAAGGTTTTATGTAAATGCGAAGATGGGATTTAAAAAGACTTTTGAAAGTATATTCTAATATCTAAAGTGATACGAAACTATTACTCTTTTAAAATATTTGAAGACATTCTAACGGTTTTGAATGGGAAAAAACGTTTTCATCGATCATTCCTTTACATGACAGTGTTTCATTGGAATCGTACAAATCCTAATTATTTTGATATTTTATAGAATAAATGCGAATTTTCGAGTAAGTTATGTCACCTTCTGACTCATGTTGAAAGTAGATTTACAAACTAAAAACACAGTTTTCAAGATTTAATAAACAATTTTTGTGAGGAAGTAGTCCAACCTTCAATCTCTTAAAATTTCTTCTGGCCTTGGTAACACTAGGAAGAAAAGACATTTTTTTCCGTTTCCCTCTTGAGAATGAAAAGAAAACAATTTTCACGATTATATAAAATGAGATTAGATATCTAACAAGTTACATAAACCCAAAGAAACTTTAAGCAAAGTATGCTCAAAAACAATTTCCGTGGAAAAACAATTCGAGATCTTTTTAAGCACCCTTTAAAGCCCTTAAATATGAATTTTTATAGTAAAAGTTTTTTTGTTTTTTTAAATTGAATTGGCAATTTTTCTTTCTTGGATGACTCTAGTTCCGGTTGAACGGCCATTCCCCTCTGTATTTATCGAAATTCAACGTTATTACAATCGCTGGAAAGCTGGATTTCTCTTCTTTCCGTGTGTGCCAACAATGTTTTTTTTCCGTAAGTGGTGAGGAAGGTTGAATGAATTTTACATGTTTCAGCCTCTGTCAACAATGTTTTGATTTTACATTATTTTATTTTACATTTTTTCTTTTACCTCCGGTTCTGATTTATTTACGGAGGTTGTGCCATTGTGTGTAGTGTGCAGGGTTCTACAACCTTCGCGAGTTTCCCATAGATCGATGGGGTTGTTTCAGTTATCGTTATTTATTTCAATTAATTATTCTTTTTATCTAAGGTTTTTTGGTTGAGATGAAAAAGATAGCGTCACGAGCGGGATTCGAACCTACGAACTTCGGCTCAATACGCCGCTGCTCTACCACTTGAACTATCGTGACTTCGATCCACTCGGACGCCAACTCGAATCCCGCTCGTGACACTAGCTTTTTCATCTCAGTCAAAAAACCTTAGATAAAAAGAATAATTAATTGAAATAAGTACTTTGATCAATTAGACTACTAAACATAAATGGGTTATCGTTATTTTTGAGATTTTCGAATAAAATCGCTTTCATTTAAAATATTGACGATCAAAGAGAAAATCTATTTTTTTGATTTTCCCAAAAATTTGAAATCAGGAGTTTTTGGAAGAGCAAAAAATGAATTTAACTTTGTTTTTTGTTAAATTTTTTTTTACCCTACTTTGCTCAATATGCATCATACCCCGGCTATAATTCAGTTGTAGCCACCTAGCGAAGTAATTCTATTATATTAATAAGAAGAAATTAGCAGTTCTTATCTCTCTAGACGGGTGTGGGGCTGAAAGGGATCAAATTCAATTAGGTACTTACAACTTGACCGGACCACCGATGCCTCACAGTGCATGTGCTTGCAGAGTTGTCGCAACTGTCAGCGCATTTCATGTTCGACGCCGACTAATCAAACCCACAGGTGACCATGGTTCCATTTTCGATGTGCAGATTATCACATTCACCGGGGAAAAAGTGGAAATTATCGGGTGGTTATTTACGAGAGTTGCTGTTTCGATTGCATAAAACTTATTATATAGGGTGTCTCTGTTAGATGGCTCGGCTGTATTTCTCTTGAACCAATGACACTGTGTTTAATATTTTTTAGTCTAGTTTCAAATTTTAACCTCTTTCTGGAGAAAAATTATACAGGGTACCTGTGGCCCAGTTTATCTTCAAAATTTCAAATATAAGCCTATACATCCTGACATAATTTTAAAGCTTTTTTAACGCTGAAAACGATGGTGCAATTGGATTTTAAATTGGTAAAAAAATGACGTTATGGCAAAAAGTTTGGGGGAAAGAGTCATTTGGTTCTCTATTTATTAATCACATTTCACGTTCGAACTGCCTACGTTGCGTAAATATTTGCTTTTTTAAAACAAGACATTTGCTCTTTTTAACCACTCTTCACCGGTGCTCAGAGCGATGGAGTCAGGGGAGATTCATTGACATGCATTTTCTATTCTTGCCGCAGTTTTTCAACTGAGGTTGATGGGTTTTGATTGGCGTAGACACTGTTTTCTTAAATGGCCCCACAGAAAAAGTGCGGAGTTAAATCTGGCGAACGAGGAGACCAATAAATCTGGCCATGAGGTTCTGGAGAATCATTCTTTGTCGCTGTTGCAGAGGAACATCATCTAATAGTGTTACTAAAACCTCCCCCAAAAAACTGAGGCCCTGAGGATTATTTAAATTATTTTCATAGGGACCCAATTAATTTATTTCCAAGAAGTCCACACCAAACGTTGATATTGTGAACCACCTGATAATGACAAGAGTACGAAATTCTGGGATATTCCTCTAACCACGTTCGAAAATTCCAACACACGCTTAGTATGTCATCAGAGTGAACTTGGATTCATCAGTCCATAGGATGTATGGAAGAACGATTTCTTCAGCCTCCCAAATCGACATTTGTGCAAGGAACTTTAGATGCCTGTCATAATCAGAGTCCCGAAGTCCCTGGACAAGATGAGAGCGTATCTGTTAAAATTGTAAGTCCGGAGTACATCTATAATTTTATCACGCTGCCGGTTTCTTGGTGATGGAAAAGCATCTGATCCGTATCTCCTCATATTGCGAGCAACACGAATAAAAGTTTTGTCGTTTATTCTAGGACGATCAGGAAATTTCTGGAAATACAACTGGCCTACACCACGTGCAATACCACTATCAATAAAGCAGTCGTACTTATCAACTCGCTGTTGACAGGAAAAATGTGCTCTTCGGTTCATTTTGAAAGGAATACTGAATTTAACGAATAGGAATAAGTACTAGCGTCAAATTTATTTACTTCCAGGAATTAGTATTTGCTCCCATAATGCGAGTTTGCCAAACAATGACAGAATGTAATAAAGACAATTAATGTTCATTTTAGCGAAGAAGTAAATTGATGAAATTGTTTTCCATTATTTTCAGTATAAAAATCCTTTAAAACGATGTGTCAGGATGTATCGGGTCGTATTTTAAATTTTGAAGTTGAACCGGGCATGAGGTATCCCGCATAATCTTTCTTCACAAAAAGGTAAACATTTGAAACTAAACTAAAAAATATTCAACAAGTTTTTTTCATTATTTTAAATTAATTAATTTTTTTTATAGCGTTATTGGATCAAGAGAAATTCAGCCGGTCCATCTAAAAAGGACACCCTGTATATTCACAATCGCATTATCTATTTATCACGTGTCAAACTACAACTACATACCACGTGATTTCTCCATTTCGTCTTTTTAGTCCGTCTATATTCTCTGGTTTGGTCTGTGATATCGGACGATCTGATCACACTACATAATATATTTTGCGTGTCATCCTTGCGCAGGGGCCATGCTAATCTTCTCTGTATCGTTCCAATTTTAGTATATGTACCGCCGAAGCGAGTACATAATATATTTGGTTTGAAGGTCATGTAGACTCTCCGCATGAACCATTTTCACACATGTTAATGTGTCGTATTTTCATTTTGCCTATGCATATCCTCGTTACAAACTGACAACTTAGTTTAAAAATAGAAACCATTTATAATAGCAGGGATCGTTTTATTTAATAAACCCGGATCATTTGGAATATGACGTAGAGAGAGAGGAAGGAGAGAGAGAGAGAGAGAGAGAGAGAGAGAGAGAGAGAGAGAGAGAGAAAAATAGAAACCATTTATAATAGCAGGGATCGTTTTATTTAATAAACCCGGATCATTTGGAATATGACGTAGAGAGAGAGGAGAGAGAGAGAGGGAAGNAGTGAGAGAGAAAGAGATAGATAATAGATAGATAGATAGAGTGAGAGTTTGTGAGAGAGAGAGAAGGAGAGAAGGAAAAATCGGCCAATCTGGAACTTTCTCCTCCCTCGTACGGTATATCGTATCTTCCGTTCAAATCACCAAAAAGTGCCGGCTGGATGGAGACCTCCGCACGGTCCCGTCCCCTTTTCCGCTACTATTTTCATCGATTTGTGGCCACACAAACAAAATATAACTTTAAAAATATCATATTTAGACAGAGAAACAGAAAAATTCAGCAAAATTATAAATACTTTTAACAGTGATAATCCTTTCGTCATAAAAATAGTTTTCAAATTTTAGAGAAAATATAAAACGTCAAATTAAGTGAAGAGATGACATTTTAGTTTCCTTTGGTATTGTCTCAGTATTTCCTAATATTAATAATGTAATGTAAATAATAAAATGTATCCTAATGAAACTTATCACATTAATTTAAAAAATAGCAATAGAACCAGATTCCTTCATAAAAAATATTGGCATTTATTTATATATATATTTTTTGGATTTGGATTTATATAGGCTTTTGTAAATGTGCCGAGTTGAGCCTATTAGCTTCCCGTAGTCCACAGGTAATTCCAGCTTTTGCTATTTATAGTAAACTGCCGGCAGACTGGGCAGTCCTGGGGTAAACCTCAATCTTTTCCTTCCAGCCACCGAGGTTAGGCTCCGGAGGGTGCAGTCAACAGCTAGGTCAATTCAGAACTCAACGCATGCAGTTCCAAACACATTCGTACTCACGTTCATTCTTAAATACATTCGCTTCTTTTTACATACAATTCATTCAATTAGGGTGAAGGACTACTCGATATTCCTCCAGCACCTTTTACCTTTATATAGAAGCCTTCAAATTGGTAATAAACAATACTTTTTATTTGATATAAATTATTATAGACAAATAAATGGTATCGCTATGGGAGGTTCCTTATCTCTTAACTTAAGAGGGATAACACAAAACATATCCTTAAAAAAAACCTTGTCACTACTAATATAAAGTCCCTTATCTTTATTAAATATACTAATGATATTTTTTGGATAAAAAAAAACATGAAATACAACCATTTTTATAATCGCTAATCCCACACCAAAAAATATAAAATTTACAAACAGAGAAGAACAATAGAATATACTATCTAGATAAAACTATAAAAAATAAAAATAAAAAACTAATCACTTGTTGGTACACTAAACAACTAAGAAACTCGAGCAGATTATTAAACTCTCCTCAAATCTTTTTTTTTTTTTTTCAAAAAAAGAATCAAATAAATAGAACCCTTAGACTTTCTCACACGTAGTGTTGGAAAATCGACGGAACTATTTCAAAGTTACTGTTATTTTGGTGATTTTCCAATAAAATCGAAGGCATTTCGATAGGTGAAAAATTGGAGAAAAAAAATTATTTATTTTTATCTTTTCCAAAAATTTGAGATCAGCTTTTTGGGGGGTTTAAAAAATGAATATAAACTTTGTTTTAAAAAATTAACTTAATTTCAAATTTCACGAAAATAATCAATTGCGAGCGAGCAAATTCGTGTTATCTATTGAAATAGCATTTAATTTTTTTTATGACCCAAAAATATTTTTTTAGCAAAAACAAAGTTTATATCTGTTTTATGCAAATCACAAAACCCGGAATATAAATTTTGGGGGGAGAAAAAATCGCAAACTTTTCTCCTTTAATTGCTATAGATTTTTTTAGAGCAGTGTTAATTAATGCTTCCCAGTTTGTTAATTTTGGTTTTGTGCATTTTTTTATTAGTTTATTAGGTGTGTGTGTGTGTGTTGTGTAAAAGTTTAAAAAAATAGTTTTTGAATCAATGTGTTATGGTAATTTTAGTTTGTCACAACGATACGGCCTTTCATTTTTCACTAACGTATAAAAGGAAATAGACTAGGTGGAATATCACGCAATCCCACTTCTGAAGATGAGAAAATGCCAAAATCTCACAAATTAACTTCTAGACAAGATGAAAATTAAAAAAAAATGAATATCTAGAATTTCGTCTATAAATTTATTCTCAAATATATAAGATATATTAAAAAAATTAAAAATATCTTTTTTCTAATGTATTAAATCGGTAAGGTTTAATATAGTAAAAAAATACGAATAGCTCACCATCGAGTGATCCGAAATAACACATTGACTGATAGGTACTTCTCCCCATTTACACCTATTTGAAACAAAATGTTTGAAAAATTACAAAGGAAAAAAACAAAAAAATAATATAAAATAAATATTAATTAATGTGTGGAGAGAAAAAAGTTTTAATATCTTGATTCTTATTTTATGTATGACTATGGTATACAGGTATGTTTATAATGGTTTATTTATTGAACGAGTGGAGCTTTTTTTCCATCCGCCCGGTGAATTAATTGAGATGATTGGTTTATGTTTGGGGTGACCGAGAAGGTAAAGTCTTGTTTCATTACATTCTCAATTTAAAAAGTGCCTTCAGCCTTGACGTTTCCTTTCATATTGGCCCTTGCTACAAGGCGTTTCATTCTTATATTATAAAATGAGGGAAGTTTTAAAATCTAATAGCAACGGCAGCCTATGGATGTCCATCTTCACTCTTCATAACCACATGTCATCCTACAAGCCTATTGGCTTTCTTCCTGTCTAAAATCCTCAAAAGATTCCTTTTCACGATAGCACATAATAGTGCCTCCGTCAATCCACGAACGAACAAGGTTTCAGAGTTGTCGACACCATTTCCTTCGCTTTAGAGACCAGACGAGCTTGTGTCCGTTCCTTGGTGTCCATCAGATTTCGATGGACCCAGGCAGCCTCTATAAACTTAAATACTTCGTACACACCCACTCGTGCCAAGGAGATCAAAAGGCTGGATATTACCAACAAAAGAATAGCCAACTAAAAGGCAACTTCATCAGTTGTTAAGTCCATAGGAGTTTGGCATTCAGGCGGACAAGGCGGATGCTTATGGATAATTCTAAAATTCAGATTTGACAAGGAATTTAGAATCAAAATACCCGAGCAGAGTGAGAGAAAATGATTTCAGTTAATGCCGGCTATGTCTGGTATACAGATGGCTCCAAGGCGAGTACGGGTCTGGACCTGGTATCTTGGAAATAAACCAAAGACTGGAACATCATAGCGCTGCCTTTCAGGCGTAGAGTATGGCTATTGAACACTGTGCCAGGGAGGTTAAAAGGCCGGTATCACCAACGAAAGAAGGGCCATCTATTCGGGCAGCGAGGTGGAACCTCATAGATAGTAAAGTCCAGAGCGTTGAGGGATGGTATCAAGGCCCTCTTAGGGAAAATCACAAAATCAGCAGTGTTTGAGTACCAGGGCATACAGGGCAAAGAGGAGGATAAATTGACCAAGGAAAGTTCAATAAGGACACTTATACCCTGAACCCTGTTTTGACATACCAAATTGCCAAAAATGTAGATCAGACGATGGGTAAAGAATACATATAACAAATAAAACACATGTTGTTGAAAATTTGGCAAAAAGAGAGAAAATTCGAACTGTTGTAGGTTGAGATGAGGAGTCCGAAAGGATCGAAGTCACGATAGCTCAATTGATTAGCAGCGTCATATTGAGCCGAAGGTCGTGGGTTCGAATCCCGCTCGTGACACTAATTTTTCATCTCAACCAAAAGCCCTTCGATAAAAAGGATAAATTAATTGGAATAATGGTCAATTATGACCACTAAGCAAATATGGAGTAATTTAATAATACATAAAGTTTTACAGGGTTTTATCGTCTACTAAAATCATTTACGCTTTTTCACACAAAAAATTTCATTACTGTAAGATAAAGAAAGTTATTCTTTCGTACGACCGTGTTCATACCTCGGCCATTTAAAACTTGTTGGGCAGGCCTGACCTCAAATAAAAACAAAAAGAAATGTTTTTGTTAAACATTCGAAGACTAATTTTGCCAAATTACAATATCTTAATTTTTAAAAAATACTAAACTAACTATTACTGTAATACTACTTTTAATTTTAAGAATAATCTAAAAACAAAAATCAATTTAAAAAAAATTACTTCAAAACCAAATCAAACTATAAATTAGTGATGGAAGTTTCTAATCGTACAAAAAAGTAACTAACTGTAAATATTGTATAAAAATGATCCATATTTTCTTTTTTATATTATATTATAAATAAAATTATAACCTAACAACGCAAAAAATCGATCGAATCTTTAGAAATTAGATGCATTATGATCAAAAAACATATAATCACCACATTAATATTAAAGATGTTATTGAAACAACAACCTTCATAAAAACATAAATCTCATAATTTCGAGGAAAATTAATATATTTAAAATAACCTAAATTAACCCTGATACAAAAGGTACTTCCAAAAAGAATTCTTCTGAATAATCACAAATTCTTCCCCACCAGTACTAATACACAATAATTTATATAAAACCTTTTCAATAAATTCACTAGTTTTCGTGGTCCGCTTGGCCAAACAATATCTTTCAATTAATTAATCTGTATTTAAGGTTTTGGTTGAGTTAAAAAAGTCAGTGTCACAAGCGGGATTCGAACCCACGACCTTCGGCTAAATACGTCGCTGCTCTACTACTTCAGCTATCGTGACTTCGATCCAGTCGGACACCAACTCCCCATCTCAACCTTTTCAATAAACCTGATACTAAGAATGCAATTATTTTTTTAGAAGAAAAAAATTAGAAATAATTAATTATCAAATTAAACCGATACAAACGGTTAGTCTAGCGATGTAAATCGTGGAACTTCAGTAGTTATGATTTGCCCAATCAAGATTTACTTTCCAATAAATCTACGTTGTTATTGCTTGTCCCGACTCCGAGAGCGAGTGTGCGCAATTCAAAGCATAAAATCATAATTAATTAATACTGCCAAATCTTTATTTATTATAAAATTCCATGTATCAATGCTAATTTTATCCAAAAATAACCCACCACCAGCTCCTATACAGCTGCATCTTAATCTGACATTTTTCTCATAAAGAAAATAGAAAATTAGCCTAATAACAGATTCAATGACAGAGATGTACAAGTAATAAATAAATAAAATTCCTCGTGGATCATTTATTAAAGAGTAGGCATCCCTGGCAAGGCTAAATTACCACCAAATCCTTTTAATTTCAAGATTATAACTAATACTACTAAGGTAAGCTAAAATTTCCAATTGAATAATAGGGTATCTAATCCTAGTTTAAAATCAATCCCTAAAATATTATAAACCAGATTCTTAATTGTAATTAAGTTTTCACCCAATGAATTTATAATTATAAACTCAATCTTTAAAATATATTTTTACCAAAACAATTAGCTAACCGCGACTGCTGGCACAATATTGGTCAGGCCGTCATAAGATAAATTAAATCTTGCTTTCGTAAATACTTAATTATAAAATCTGCGATTAAATACTAATTTGTCTTGCAGAGAAAATTCAAAACAAAGTAAAACATACATGTATAATTAATTGTAAAGCTAATCCATTGGCTAGGAGAAAACTTTGATTAAAATAAAAAATTTCGTAGTACATTTATCCTAATTATACCTTATGCTAGTTTATTTAATTTGTGTGTATTATCATTAATATTGAAATGTCATATATTAGTTATATATTGTAGATAATTATAATTAATAATACATAAAATATCAAGATATATTATATACATCCCCGTCCATACTACGTATTGGGGGGGTAGCCATATAAATCATCAACAGATGATATCTTACAATTAAGCTTTATTTTGTTATTTACATCGTGGTTCAGATGGAAATAGTATACTTAATTCACACCTTGGTAGAAAAAGTCCTGAAGTCCCTTTATGTATTGAAATTTTACCTCAATAATGTATTTTTTTACATTATTTATACATTTAAATAAATAGAATATAAATTATATTATTGATAAGTTATATGTAAGGACCAAGAGATTAACGCTCGTGTGTAGGTATTGTCAGGAAGAAGGAGAAACTGCGAACATGTCATCTGTTGGCGATCCTACTCCTAGGCAAAATCAAGACTTGAAGTAATCACACGGAAGCCATTCACTAAGCTTTGAGATCTAGTAAAAAGCCTTACGCTTAAGTAAGGAAAAGTACAAAAGCCGAGTCTTTTCAACATTTAAACAAATAACCAAGCTAACCTTCAACATCCAAGAACAGCTTGAACTTATCAAAGAAAGTAGTGAATAGTAGACTGAATGAGGAAGAACATAAGACTTGGTCAACTACTGTTATGGCTTGCAGATCAATATTAGAGAATTCCACCAAACCAATATCTTGCATTCAATCCTTGAAATCAAAAGTCCTAAGCCTAATTGTCACTGCTTCTTAGTCACTAACTTCACTCTTCATGGCTTGAACATTCCTCTTTCGTCCTAACACTACTGCTTTGGCATTTTGAGGGCAGAAACAATACTGGGCCTAGTATACTCCCTTGTCGCACTCCCATCATTCTTCATGGTGACCGATGCACGGGTCATTGCCAATTTTAATATTCACTACCGTCCTCCTTGGAGACGTGAGCTACAACACTGGAATACTTGACTTCTTCACTTTATAAGAATATGAGTACAACAGTTCTCCTTCATATATCCTTCATAAATCCTTTAAGTCAAAAGTCCTAAGACTAATTGTCAATGTTCCTTAGTGACTAACCGCATTCTCCACGGCCTGAACTTTCCTTTTCGTCCTAACACTACTGTTTTGGTATTTCGGACATTTTTTATCTATTACGTCTGACGATTTCTTCAGTGTCAGTCACAATTTAACCAACTCAAACTCACGACTAAAGATGGCGAGAAGCCGAGACAAAACTGACGGGCAAAAACAGTGATGATGGGAAGAGACCACAAAGAATGGAAATAAAGAGAAAAACTCACCTCACGTGGTACCCATACATCATTCCGACAGACTAACATTTTACGTCGTTATGTTGTCTTAGGGCAAGACGACCTTCAGCAATTTTGTTTAAAGATTAGCGAGAAATCCCGTGAGTTTAGTGATAGAGAATATAGATTGGCGCCAAATAAATCAGTGTTGCCAATACAGGGGCAGAAACAGAGGAGGAACAAACACTGCGCTCGCCCTAAACCCCTACTTTCCTAATATAAAATGGCCAAAAAATGTTGATGTGGCAATATCTAACTTTTCAGCAATCTCACGAACAGCCCTACGTTAATTTTCTG